ACACACACACACACGCGCGCGCGCGCGCGCACGCGTGCGCACACACACGAACGCACACACACAAATACATTAATGCCTTTTGTAGTACTGGAACTCAGTAAAAAAAGAACAGTGTTTTAAAACATTTTTAAGTAGAGCATTTTATTATATAATATAATATCACGTAATATGCGCACACACACGAACGCACTCACATAAATACATTATAATGCCTTTTGTAGTACTGGAACTCAGTAAAAGAAGAACAGTGTTTTGAAACATTTTTAAGTAGAGTGTTTTATTATATAATATAATATGACGTAGGGTCAACAAATACTTCAACAAATGAGCAAAAAGGCAGCAAAACATCCAAATAAATTAATAATGAAACAAAGATTTAAGAATATAATATTATTATAGAGCACCTGAGAACGCTGTATGACAACCCTGGCTTTATCATGCATAAAATCAAACAAATTGCATTGCACAAGATCGAAACATTAATTTATAAAGTGTTTCAAAGTTAATTGTGGGTATGAAAATCGGACACATGCTGTGTGTATTGGGGTGGGGGTAGTTACGTGTGTCTGTATTTGGGCGTGAGTGTGTGTGTTTTTATGAGTGTGGGTGGGGGGAGGTGGTTGCGTGTAGGTGTGAAGTCGTGAGAAGGAAAGAGACTTAAGTAAAAGATTCGCCTACATGATGAAAGTCTTTGCCTCGGCCGCTACCTTCCTGTCACACAGAGGACATTTCTTGCAGCGCCTAGCGCAGCCGGAGCAGGTGGTAAGATGAGAGCATGGCAAAAAGATCACCTCAACCCGTCGTGTGTTACACACAGAACACGTGACTCTGCCTTTGAGGTATTCCCGCTCATTTTCTAAAACTGTCCTTAGTTTCTTATTGCGTTCCGACCTCGTTAGTGGTGGTCTGGCCGTTCTGGCAGCACCCTCTGAATGTGTATTAGAACTATTTCGTGATTCCTTTGTTTCATCTTTTGTTTTATCATGTGGAACTAATTCTTCTTTTTCGGTTTTTGTCGATTCTTCCCCTGTTTTATTTGTTCCTATTGCTTCGTTCCGTCTTTCGTCAGCGCCTAATTTGACCTCACTCCCAGTTCGGTTGATGGCTTGGATTGAAGTTTCAGGGACTTGAGAAGTTCTTTCAGTCGATGTGACTTCTGTTGATGGTTCTGAATATTGGGGAATTTGTGGGAATTGTTTTCTTTCACTTTCAGAATTGTCTGACGTCACCTGACTCCAAGTAGCACCAGACTGACCTGTGTAAATATCTGTAGCGGCGGCGGCGACAGGACTCACGGCTGTAAACCGCTCAGCCTGAAATCCTGAGGTATTCTCATGAGGGCCACCATGCTTTGTGATTTCTCCTTGAGGTCCATTGAGATCTATTCTGACATCGCTCCGACCTTGATCTGTGGTTATATATTGGCCTTGGTTCTGACCTTGACTTTGTGTCCAGTTCTCCTTGACAAAAGGGAAATCTTCAACACCCCCATAACTGCTACAGATGTCGGAAAACTCTTTCAGAAGGTTCTCCTCTTCAAAGTTGGCGTCTATGATGCACTCCAGCAGCTGTGCAGCGTTTGGGTACCGTCTGGAGCGCACCACACAGACACGCACCGCGCTCTCGATCAGCGCGCGCTCTGACGGGAGGGCATAGTCTCTCAGGTTAATCTCCACAGCCCTCACGGCTGCCGAGGACAGGAACGACTGCTCGATGGCCACAGAGTCTAACACAAGCTTGTGTTCTCTCACACGTCTGGGGACCGTCCTCTGGGGTGATGGGGTCAATGCTGCAGTGGACGGGTCAGGGTTCAAATTCGTTGGCGGTGAGGCTGAGGGTTTGCGTCGTTTTGTCTGTCTCGCCGGGAGTTCTTTCGGTCTGACGTCGGGTGGCCTGACCAGCGACTCAGGCCTTTGTGGTGAGGGGGAGGCGCCGCTAGAGCCGCATGTTTCTGTGCTGCTGTGTGGAGTTACTAAAGCGCTTTCTGTAGACAAAATATAGGAAAGGAACTAAGAGCAAACTGTACAAAATACACCGAATGCTGGCAAACCAGAGAAATTATCAGGTACTTGAGCAGGGTAGGTGAGCACCTGAACTCAACTTTAAGTAGCCCCCAAGTGACACATGTGCTTTACTCTTCTCTACCCACTCTGTCTCCTCCTCACCCTACTCTCTCTCTCTCTCTCTCTCTCTCTCTCTCTCTCTCTCTCTCTCT